CTACTTCCATAATGGTGGTGTATATGGGTAGTTGTCAAAATTATGGTCCCTTTTGGGATACCCTAAATAATAGGTGCCATATTGTAATAAGGACCCAAAAAGGGACCCTAATTTTGACAACCACCCATATGGACCCTCTTGGTTAGGGTAGCTAGGTATCGTCGTTTTGTCCTGCTTCCGTGTTATACGACCATTGGCCTGGCATAGGTTGGATCTGGTCACCTAGACTCTTAGGGTTCAGGGGTTTGGGTCTAGGGGTTTAGGGGTTGAGGGTTTAGGGTTTAGGGTTTAGGGTTTAGGGGTTTAGGGTCGAGGGGTTTACTGTTTAGGGTTTAGGGTTTAGGGTTAGAGAGCCAATGGGAGAACTGTAAGTTCTTTGGCTTTATATTCTTGGTCCATCGTGTAGAAAGTTTGAACTTTTCCCGGCCCGGTTATTGAAGAAGAGAGGAATACTGGGTTCTGAGCACCATTCTTGTAATTGTTTTGAACCTTGCAGCCGACAGGCCCAATCCAGATCCTGAGCACTAATATAGGGGCCTTATAATAATTACCTACACTATTTTGGGGTTCTTTATTATAGCTAACGTATAATATACCCCAAAAACCTAGTCTAACTATTAAGGCCCCTACATCAGAATCCAGGTGCATGGTCTTCTCATGCTGACATCTCATACCATGAACCGATGAAAGCCACAACGGCTGAGGGTTGAAGCTTTTCGGCCCATTATCTAGGCTCCCTAGTCCTTCCTTCAAACTAGTCCTTCCTTCGAAACCTCAAGCCTTAAACCCCATCAGCCAGTTACACTCCATCAAGACGAAACACGACCCTGTAAGCACGGGGTCGCACACCCTTTGTCCAACCCCATTCGTTATGCTGAGCCGTGTCGATTTCAAAAGAAACCAGGCCAGCCCAGACGAGTCCCTGCCGTCCAGGTCGCCGCCGGCACGGGCACAGAGACCACCCCCAGAGGATCAGCCAAAGACCACACTTGAACGGCATGTGCCAGATTCCAGCAAGGACTCGATGTTCCTACTCAAGCTTCCTCAAACCTTGGAGCACGGCATCTCGGCCATGCCGACAGGGAAGTCAGTGATCCTGATTTGGGGACGTACCGGCCTGACCGATGACACAGAGATTTGCAGCGCCGAGCAAGGTCGCAACGGTTGTGTGCTGGGCTTCGCAGCTTTGCAGGAGGTTCTGCATGTGACTTGCTACGAAGATCTGGAAACATACACCTGCTTCGATGCGTCGTACACCGTACACCCACACTGGACCTACACCACCTACACCCTGAAGCCTAAACCTTTCAAAACCCCACATCCGAAATCCTCTGAGCATGTATAGCCTACGTAGACCAATCAAGACTAAGAGCCCTAACCCTAAGGGTCCATGTGCCCAAATAGCATGTACTTTGGCCTTAATGTAGTCCCTATATAGGTACTTTGGGGCCAATGTTATTTGGGTACATGGACCCTTAGGGTAAGCCCCAAAAAGCTTTCAAAATCCAGTACCTCTACTTAGAGGATCATGGGATCATGGGACTTAGTAAGTAAGGTTATAAGTCCCTAATTGGGGTTATATGTATACTTACCTTAGTTATAACCCTACTTACTAAGTCCCATGATCCGTTAAGTAGCCCTCGAGCCCGAGGCGCGCAAAAAGCATCCCGCAGCCAGGCAATGAAGAAGGAGAAATGGGTGAAGGAGTTCCTGGGACAGCTTCTGTTCCCTGCCCAGCATTGGCAGGCTATGGCTTTTCCTGGGAGTAGTGACTTCTCTCAAAAGCTTTGTTCAAAGTTTTTGACAGGGCTTAGACTTCAGAGTAACACGATGATAACCCAACCCCTCAGCCCTATACACCTTAAACCCTAAAGAGCTCGCCATTCGGAACTGGACTTAGGGCATCGTACGTGTAGATTTCTTGTGGAACACATCGGTAAGCTTTTTGTCCGATTCCGCGGACCTTTAGAGGTTTTCGACGGGGGTGCAAAAGGTGACGGTTCGGGCGTTTTGAGGGTTCACCCCACATAGTAGAATCATTCAACACCCTTAGAGAGACGTACTTTAAGTCCCTAAACTCCAAAACCCCTGAACCCTAAACCCTAAACTCCTGCTGCCTGTAGAATCCTTTTGGGTTGTTCGGTGTGGAAACCCTAACATCCGAAGGTCCCCAAACCTTCGAATCATGCCTACTTGAGGACACCTATGTAAACCCGTCAAGGATCCGTAAACCCTAAATCTGTACATGCTTGTCCCTCAACCCTAAACCCTGAAACAACACAATGAGTCCCAGTTCCTGAAGCTAAGCTCCAGACCCGCGAACACTACTGTTGATGATATATATATATATATATATATCCGTCACTACCTTGAGAACCCTAAACTATGGAACTATGGTATATTCCTTAATATGGGTCATGCATGATTTATATCATCAACCGTATCAAAACCAAAGCCCTGAATCCTGGAAGCTCTAACGCGGGGATTTGTGGCCTCCATGCGGTGCCAAAGGATCACCTCCGGGCAGATCGCTTGGACCACGGATTGCTCGGCCGCCCTCGTCAAGGCGGGTATTTGGGTTTACGTTGAAGAGGGTTTACGGTTTAGGGTTGTGTAGGTCAATGTTGTGTATGTATATATGTATGTGTATATATGTGTGTATATATATATATATATATTTATTTATTTATACCATATATATATATATAGGCCGGTTAACAAGTCTGACATAAGCATTTGGAAGTGCGGGTGCTTGGGCACTCATAAGCACATGTTTTGGGAATGCCGGCAGCGACCGCCCAAGCTTGCTTGCCCCGTTAATCCTCTCGTTTGCCCCGCTTCGGGTGGTCTGTGCAGGGCTATGAGCAAGGTCGTGCACTGGAAAGGATACGCTGCTGGATGGTGACGGTCCAGGAGGAGATTTGGAAAGTCCACCACCCAGGCCGTCCTCCTGAGGACCAGCCTGCGGCCGAAGTGTGGCCTCCGCCCCTTTGTGTCGGCGTGAGCTGGCCTTTTCGGGCTGGCTAAGGTATACTTGGCTCACCCTTGGGTACGACTGAGGATCGCAGTTGGCGTGGCGACACTCGTGCTAAGGTGTGCCTTCGTGAGCCCGACGGGCTCATCTAAGGACATGCATGGAATTCCTTGGTGCTTCTTCGATGACGCGGAGCGAGCACTTCAAAAGCTGCATATCTATATATCTGTATACAGATAGATAGATAGATAGATAGATAGATAGATAGATATAGTAGCCTTTGCGGTTTTAAAAGAGGGTGGGCATAAACTACGGTACGTTCGGTTTCTGCATTGTTTGGAGAGGTAAGATTGAGGTTTGCGAGTTCTTCGGGTTCAGGATGTACGGTCTCGATGCTTTGAGTTTCAAGTTCCAGAGTTTGTCAGGACAGCCCTAGGTACATGCACCCTTCACAGAGACCTTATGGTCCTTCATGTGGGTATTTATTCACAACTTACGATTGCATTCTCTAGGCTTAAGGGCTTTGATGGCTGGGCCCTCCCCGTTGCAGCAGTGCACCGGGTTTAGGTAACCCTGCGGGACGACACGAGCATGTAGAATATTCGAGGCCATCACATCCCTAAACCCTAAACTTAACACCCTACACCCTAAACCCTAAACCGTCATCACTGTATCCCACACCTTCAAAGCCCAAGTTTACCAAGCCCTTCAGGCGGATGTAACAGGGGTCGGTTTCGCGATCCATATGCTAAACCCCTAAACCGCTAAACCCCTAAGCCCTAAACCCTAAACCCCAAACTCCTAAACCCCTAAACCCCTCAACCCTAAACCCTACACATGGGTGCAAGGACGCTTGAATAGTCTTTCTGCAGGGCTTTTCGACGGGCGGGATCGCTATCTTGAGGTTCGATGCCGCTTCGCAAGTAAGGCTAGAATTCCGGTGAGGGTTTAGGGTTTAGGGTTCAGGGTTTAGGACTCAAGCCAACCCCCAAACTAGAATTCTACCTTAAGCTTCCGGAACCCTCAACCCCACACTATGCAAGTACCCTTGAACCTCCAAGATTTCGAGATCCCGACCCCTGAAATGCCAGAGTCCTAAATTTTTGGAGGCCCTAAACCCTAAACCCAAGACTCTAAACCCAAAGCCCTAAAACCCTAAACCCTAGACCCTAAACCCTAAACCCTAACCCTAAACCCAAAACCCAACCAAAAGCCAGGCCTCGTGTTTACGGGGTTTACAGTAGGGTTTAGGGGATAAGGTGTTCTACAAGGTCATGTGGGGCTTCCCTAAACCCTAATTAAGGGTCCAAAGGACCCAATAATTAGGTACTTTGGTTACGTAAAGTAGTTATCTAGGTTAATATTTGGGAGAGTATATGATTATTAGGTACTTGGACCCATAGGGTAAACCCTAAACCCTAAATTGGGGCATATAGGGTGTACAGCGCTCAGGGATTATAGGGTTGAGGCTTTGGCGCTTGGGCTTAGGATTTGAGGTCAAAGGTCGGTTTAGGGTTCAGGGGTGCTTGGTCCGAGTAGGACATGATGGCGTCTACACGGCATAGTAGCCAACAGCACATTGAAGATTCTGTTATTGCCAGGGTGTCCTGCTTTCCTAGACCCCCCAACTACCCTCTATTATAGCACCAAGTACCCACTATTAAGGACCATAGGCTGCATTAAAGGGCCAATGGGGGGTCCTGGTTCATTCCACACTAAGAGCCGGCAAGTTCGGGTTTTTTTATAAGGATGAGGCATGTGCATTCCAGACAACCCTAAACGCCGAATCCTTAACCACACACAGTACCCACCAGCACCACAAGCCTGAAAGTTGCAATCCACAAGCCTGCACGGTTTAGGGTTTAGGGTTCAGGGTTCAGGGTCTAGGGTTTAGGGTTTAGGGTTTAGGGCCGGCCTTTCCTGCAGGTAGAGAAGGGCCACAAGAACGCACTCAAGACTGCCTTTTGCTGCACGGTGGTTTTAGAATTTGGGTTTTAGGTTCAGTATAGAAGCCGAAATAAGTACTTACCAGTATTACCGTTCGGGTTCCTTACTATGACTATACCATAATAGAGCCCAAAGCCCTATTCTAATTATTCTAAACCCTAAACCCTTATAGTAGCCCTGATAACTGGCCCTTATAGAACCCTTTGAAGAACCCTTTAAAGGAACCCCCCAAAGCCCTAGTCTATTTATTAAAGGCCCCTACCCTAAGGGTCCAAGTNNCAAATATTAACCTAGATAACTACTCTACGTAACCAAAGTACCTAATTATTGGGTCCTTTGGACCTAAACCCTAAACCCTAAACCCTAAACCTTATTATTGGGTCCTTTGGACCCTTAGGGCTACATTAGGCGGTTCAGGGTTTTGTCATGCGACAGGTCAGGTCTAGGGTTCTGGGGATCGTGCCGCGGAGGGGGTTTGTTCCTGAGGGTTTAAGGAGTTTAGGAGCTTAGGAGTCGAGGAGTTTAGGGTTTAGGAGTTTAGGGTCTAGGAGTTTAGGGTTTAGGGTTTAGGAGTTTAGGGTCTAGGAGTTTAGGGTCTAGGAGTTTAGGAGTTTAGGAGTTTAGGAGTTAGAAATTTAGGAGTTTAGGGTTTAGGAGTTTAGGAGTTTAGGGTTTAGGAGTTTAGGGTTTAGGGGTTTAGGGGTTTAGGGTTTAGGAGTTTAGGGTTTGGGGTTTAGGGCTGCTCCACTGCCCAGCTGAAAAAAGGAGCGCGTGAAGCCGAATGTAGATCCCTTCTACTTTAAGGCCAATGTATCTACTGCTTGGGTGAATGGACCCTTGGGGTGGCTTGAGTGTCGGGGCTTCCGTGTTGTAGGAGTTGGACGTTGGGTCGAGTGGGGGACGGCGTTCAGGGTGCCCAGAAAATGAGTCTGGCTAGCCTCCAGGTGAACCCTAACGGTCAAAGTCGACAGTGAAAGTGTAGTTCTAATCCCTGACCCCGAAACCGTAAACCCCACTTAACCCTAAGGCTCCATGTGCCCATATAGTTTTTTACTTGAACATTCAAGAGGTTCCTATATAGGCACTTTGAGGCCTAAGTATACACTATATGGGCACATGGAGTTTTAGGGTAAGATTGAGAGGGGAACCAAGCAGGACACTCAAGCGCACTCAGAGCAAGTACATCAGCAAGCTTTGCGAGATGATCCGCAAGGGCCTGACGAAGAATCCCGGCCGTTTACTGGTTTCCCCGGCTTTTGAACCGTGCTTGACTTAATGTAGGGGCCTAAATAGTTACCTATACTATGTTTTGGGGGCTCCTCGTTATGATTATAGTATAATGTACCCCAAAACCCTATTCTTATCTTTCAGGCCCTATATTAGTTGTGATTTGCTTCTTGCTCCTGCGGCATTAGAGCTTTGGAGCTTGGGGTAAACCCTGAAAACCCTAAACGCTGATCACTGAACCCCTCAGCACTAAGGCCGTCAATCCTAAACTCCTAAAGCCCTAAACCCCTAAGGCCTTAATCCAAAACCCGGAAACCCTCAGAGGGGTCCGTCGGAGCTCTCGAGTTGTCAGCGGTGGTTTCTGCAGTTGGGTTCCTGTTAAGGAATCCTAGCGTTCCATGTGCCCACATAGTAATGGTATATTGGTTCCTGCTAAGGAACTTGTTTCCAGTTACCACCATTGGGATGTAGAACTAGGGTTGGGGTTTGAGGGTCAGGGGTCGGGGTTTAGGGTTTAGGGTCGAGGGTTCCAATATGATTGCCTTATCATGGTGACCCCACACGCTTCAACAAGGGCCCAGCAGTTTCAGGCCCACCTAGAGCTTAGAATGCATTCATTATGTATTCCCTGTTTGGACAACCTGCTGTTATGGTTAGGATCAGGCAACTAACAACAAGGTATTGCGTTTTAGGGTTTATAAAGGTATCCGGATAGTCGGTAGTCATCCCACCCAAACCCCAGGTAAATCACCAAGGTGCATAGAGTAACTCCAAGCCCTACACCCTGAACCCGAAACCCCAAACACTACCCCGAAACTCTTGACCCGAACCCCTAAACCCTAAACCTTAAACCCTAAACCCTAAACCCTAAACCCTAAACCCTAAGCCCTACCCCTACACTCTAAACCCTACTCCCTAAACCCGAAAAAATCAGCCCTTCCCCTGAACTCTAAGCCTTAAACCCAACACCCCCCTAGACTGCAGTCCCTTTCCAGGGGTTTAGGGTTTAGGGTTTAGGATTTCCCTTTCCAGGTATTTTTAGGGCCACAGTATATAAACCCTAAACCCTAAACCCTAAACCCTAAACCCTATAGTCGTACTTGGGGGCTCAGGGAAGCCCTAAACCTTCGCGGGCCCTTACAGGGCGTTTCGAAGGAGGCCCTTCAAGGAACCTTTATAGGAGCCCCTATGGGAACATGGCCTCTTAGGGAAGCCATATAGCCTAAACCCTAAACTTAAACTCTAAATTCTAAACCCAAAACCCCGAAACCCTGCACCCTGAATTCTAGACCCTATATCCTAAAACCTAAACCCTCAACCCTGCTGAACCCGAAAGAGCTCCCCCCCCTTTTCCGAGCCCAGGATCGAACGAAACAAGCATCCCGGCCGTCAAGGAAAGAGGGAGGAATGCCTGAACCCTAAACCCCTAACCCCAAACCCCTAAACCCCTAAACCCCTAAACCCCTAACCCCAAACCCTGAAATCCTTACCTAAACTGTAGGATTTTGGGTTGTTTCGGGGTTTCGGGAGCTTCGAGGGTATGGGAGCTTCCGGAATTTAGGGAGTTTCGGGGCTTAAGGGCTTGAAGAGTTGAGGGTTTTACGCAGAGTTTAGGTTTTAAGGCTTTAGCCCTAAGGGTCCAAGTACCTAATTCATCATGTACCCTCCAAAATGCTAACCTACAAGACTGCTATCCTAAAGCCGAGTACCTAATTATTGGGTCCTTTGGACCCTTAGGGTAAGGTTCTGGGAGCAGAAGGGTGTGATGGGTGTTTGTTAGGGTTTAGGGGTTTAGGGGTTTGGGGTTTAGGGGTTTGGGGCTCAATGCTTCGGGCTGAGGGTTTTCAGGGTTTAGGGCTTAGGGTTTCTGGGGTTTAGGGTTTGGGGCCCAGGGTTTAGGGTTTTAGGGTTTAGGGTTTAGGGGTTAGGGTTTAGGGCTTTCAGTTGGAGATTACTCCCAGCACCTTCCCAAACCCTCTACCTTGGTCGATTAGGGCAACTCTGAATCCCAACCATAAACCCTAAAACCCTAAACTGGGGCTTTGTGGTTTCTTTTAAGGGGTTCCTTGAGCGGCTCGATAAGGGAACTATGAGGGTTTGGGCAAAAGGGTCCGAGTTCCCAGCTGGTATACCCTAAACTCTCGGTTTTAGCGTTCAGGGTGGGTTTTTAGGGTTTAGGGTTTAGGCCCCATGCTCGGTTGGTTTAGGGTCTAGATTCTAGGGTTTACCTGTGGCCCGAAGACCTACCTTTTCAATTATCTATAAAAAGAAACCATAATAGGAAACCCTGAACCCTAAACAGGTAGGTCTTTTCGGCTACAGGTAGGGGTTTAGGGATGAAAGAGCCATCCGAGGGAGCCGGCTTAGTCTTTGGATTCTTATAGGTTGCAGGAGAGATGAGAACTTCTACTCGGAAATCCTACACCCAAAACCCTAAACCCTAAACCCTAAACCCTAAACCCTAAACCCTAAACCCTAAATCCTAAACCCAACCAAAGTAGTTTAGCTGCCTAGCCCTCTAGCATCACTCAAGCACCCTACCTGGGCCTCAAACCTCGAACTCTACACCAAAAAACCCTGAAATCCTCAGTTAAGCCCCACGGTTGATGGTAGAAATCCTGCATTACCCATAATAAGGCACGTACCATAATTCCCGTAGTTTAGGGTCCTTGGGGTAATGCAGGATTTATATCAATGCAGGATTTATATTATCAACAGTATCACCGGAACGCCAAGGTTGGTAGCACTGATCACCATCGAGGTCCATGCACGCGATGTCCAAGAGCGCATGTATGCGTGGGTCTGAGAGCTCGTTGTTCCGTGAATGACCTTTTCTGAATTGTAGTTAGAACTGTTGACCAGTTCAGGATTCTGCATTGTACAAACCCTCAAAACCTAAACCCCAAACCCCTAAACCCCTGAACCCTAAATCCGTTTGTAGAGAGCAAAAGCCTGAACTTTTATCATTCCAGAAAGCCGTTAAACGCTAAACCATGACCCTTTTAGGAGCCTTAGTGTAAGGGCTTATACAGGCTGCTTAGCATGGAGCAGCTCACACGTCTTTTGGTGATAAGGGTCGTTTTTAATTAGTACATTCATGGCCCATTCATGGCATATCATATGTAAACCCTACACTGTGCTACACCCTATACCCTGAACTCAAGACACCCTAAACTACGAACCCGAACTTATAGCAACCCTTGTCGCAGGCCTTATAGTAACCCTTGAAGGAGCCCTGAACAGAACCCTCGTAGTAGGGTTTAGGGTTTAGGAGTTTAGGGTTTAGGGTTTGGGGTTTAGGTATCAAAGGAAACCTTAAAGGAACGCACTTCGGCTGCAAAGCAGCACCGTGGCTTTTAAGACCTAAGCCTAACACCTCACACCCTAAACCCGAATACCTTAAACCCTAAACTCTTAAACCCTAAACTCTAAAATTTAAACCCTCAACCCTAAACCCAATAGCCTCTAAACCCTTAAACCCTCAAAGCGCAGCCCAAGGCTCTGAGACCTTATAAACCCTAAACCCTAAAACCACAAGCCCTAATGCGCTAAAAGCCTAAGGTCTAAGCCTTGAAAGTACGAAGCCTAAGGCTCCAAGTAACTGATAATCATATACTCTCCCAAATATTAACCTAGATAACTACTCTACGTAACCAAAGTACCTAATTATTGGGTCCTTTGGACCCTTAGGGAAGCATCCGAGCCTCCGAGGACTGTAACCCCCCTTCAAGGAACCTGAAAGTGGGGATGCACCCGATGCTAACCCGTAAGCAAAAGCCTATAAGGTTTGGGTTTAGGGTTTAGGGTTTAGGGTTTAGAGATTAGGGTTTAGGGTTTAGGGTTCCCCTGAATCCTGAACCCTGAACAATACCTTAAACCTGAAACCCTAAACCCTAAACCCTGAATACCTTAAAACAATACGTCAAACCCTGAAACCCTCAAGCCCTAAACACTAAACCC